ACCCTCCACTGCTTTCCAAGGCACATTAGTAGGGAGCTGGATTGGAAGTGGAGCGGCTGGGACTCGAACCGACACCCATATGGGATGCCGGCACTGCAGACTGGGGCTTTTACTTACTGCGCCACAGCGCCGGCTTCTCCCTCATTTCTTTTTTTTTTCTTCTCTCTCTCTCTCTCTCTCTCTTAAAGATTTTATTTATTTATTCGAAAGTCAGAGAGTTACACAGAGAGAAGAGAGAGAGAGAGGTCTTCCATCCGATAGTTCACTCCCTAGATGGCCGCAACAGCTGGAGCTGTGCCGATCCAAAGCCAGGAGCCAGGAGCTTCTTCCGGGTCTCCCACGTGGGTGCAGGGGCCCAAAAACTTGAGCCTCCCTCATTTCTTTAAACCTGTATTCTCTATCATCTCTTTGAGTTTCCTTAGGATCATTATTTAAAATTTTTCTTTTAGTTATTTCATATATTTTCTTCAAATCTGGTTCTATTTCTACCAAACTATTGTGTTCTTTTGGAGGTATCATGCTTTTTTCTTCTTTTTCCCTGTATCTCTATGTTGACATCTGCACTCTAGTGTATTAGTTTTATGGAGAAGGATTCAGTGGAAAGGTTTTTTTTTTTTTTTTTTTAGTTGGAATGTGGGATATCAATTGGGCAATTTAGTTGGTTTGGGTTATAGGTGAGCCCAGCAATGTAAACTCTGAGTGATATCTTCAAGTGTAATCAACATCCATGATGTCTTTGACTGACATAGTTGTCGAGTCTGCAGCGCTTCATGGAGGTAGTAATTTGACTTTGAATTCAACATGGGATTTCAGGGTGTGTGTCCTCTATCTCCATGAAGTTGGGTATTAATCACACTAGAGTTTGTGATGGCAGTAGACTCTCTCTTGTGCTGTGAAACACAGAGGGAGCTGTCCTCTTGTCCTGCCAGGAAAGTCCAAGTGATGGTGGGCATGGTGGCACCACTCACTGTGGCCCTGGAACTGTGTGACATGGGTGCAGTCTTCACCAGGTCCTGCTGGGTGGGTGTGACTGGTGCTAGTCCTAACTTGGAGGGGAGGCGGTTTGGAGAGCACCTTGCCCCAGTCCTACAGGGTAAATACAGGTTATGTTGGGGATTGTTCACTGGTAAGTGGTGGTCTGGAGCAGTGGAATGCAGGTAGGTTTTTCCCTACATCCCACAGGGTAGGTTCCAGTGACTCTGAGGAATGCAATACTAATAGTCACAGCCCTGGAGCTTCAAGACAGGAAGGGTACCTTGTCCAGGTCTCACAGGAAAAGCCTAGGTTATGATGGTCATTGCGCAATGGCAACTGTGGGCATGGAATGGAGATAGAGCCTTCCGAAGGTCCACAGGGTAAGCACAGGTGTTCCTGGGGCTTACAGAGCTGACAGGATGTAGTTCAGACCTTATCCAGGTCTCATGTTCCACACATTAGTTATGCTGGGGATTGTGCACTAGCAGGTAGAGTTCTGGAGCAGTGGAAAGCTCATAGGGTCCTCCTCCCCAGGTCCCATGGGGGAGATCTCTGGTGACTCTGTGGAGTGTATCTGCAACAGTCTCAGTCTCAGAGATGCAGGTCTCAGAGAGCACCTTATCCAAGAACCAGGTTATGCTGGGGATTGTGCATAGCCTTTGCAAGCCCGGATCAGCAGGATGAGGATAGGATCTTCCCAGGCCCCACGCATCAGCACAAGTGGCCTTGGGACCTACAGAAGAGTTACAGACCCACAGCTGCACTTTGCAGTGGGGTTCTTACCTCTGTCCCTCAGGGTGAAACCAGGTAACTGTGGAATAGCTTCAACTGTAACAGTCTCCAAAATTCAGGGCTCAGAGGGTAACTAGCCCAGGTCCTACAAGGTGATTGCACATTATACTGGTTACTGGGCACTAGCAGGTGCAGGCTTGGAGCACAGGAGTGCAGATAGGGCCTTCCTTGGGTCCTGCAGGGGACTGAAGATGACCCTGGGACCTACAGCACCAGCAAGCACAATCCCATAGATGCAAGGTGCAATGGGATCCTTACCCAGGTCTCCAAGGGTGAGTGCCAATTTTGCTGGGGATGGTGGATGGGCAGCCTCTAGCCTGAAGCAGAGAAATGCAGATAGGGCTCTCAAGATCCCACAGGTGAGTGCAAATGCTCCAGGGATTGTAGCACCTACAAGCATCCAGAGCTGCCATTCACAGAGGGGACTGCCCCAGGTCTCACAGGACACGCTAGGGTGTTGCTGGGGCTTGTGCTTTGGCCTTAAGCACCCTGTGCGAAGAAGTACAGAAGAGGACTTCCCTAGGTCTGGACCTCTGGGCTTGTGTACAGACTGTGGCTGGTGCTGAGCCCTCGGAAGCCAAGGGGGGGTCTTCTGTAGATCGAGCATAGCTCTGGGGCTTGTGCCCAGAAATTCTGCAATTTCAGGATGCAGAGAGGCCTGCTGTCTGCCTTGGAAAGCACCAGGCCTCTGGCTTTTGGGGCTTCCAGCAGAAAGGGGGCTGCTTGCTGTTCCCTAAGACAGAATGGAGTTTAGCAGAGTTGTATCACAGCAGCTCAGGTCTGGCACTTTGGGGGCAGAGGGAGGTAACGTGGGTTCCTCTTGTGGAGCTAAGCTCGGATCCCATCTGCTGTTAGACTGCATTTAAAGCCAGTGAGGACTATGGAATTCTCCTGTAGTGAGAGCTTCCAGTGTGTGGCCAAGGCAGGGCTTATAGAGCTTGCACTTTACCTTTTTCTCTCTCTCTCTTTCTTTTTTTTTCTTTCTTTCTTTCTTTCTCGATAGTGTCTTTTAAGTGTTTTTATTGAACAGGCAGGAGTGGACAGAGAAAGAGACACAGAGAAAGGTTTTCCTTTGCCGTTGGTTCACCCTCCAATGGCCGCCGCGCTGATCCGATGGCAGGAGCCAGGTACTTATCCTGGTCTCCAATGTGGGTGCAGGGCCCAAGCACTTGGGCCATCCTCCACTGCACTTCCTGGCCACAGCAGAGAGCTGGCCTGGAAGAGGGGCAACCGGGACAGAATCCGGCGCCCCGACCGGGACTAGAACCCCGTGTGCCGGCGCCACAAGGCGGAGGATTAGCCTAGTGAGCTGCGGCGCCAGCCAGTTTACCTTTTTCAGGCCAGATGGCATCCCCTTGGCTGGGGAGCCATAGCAGGAGCTGCGGTGTACTTTGTTCCTCTCTCTTAGCTGGCTTTTAGAGTCTCTGTGCTAGTTGAAGTTCCCATAGTTACTGACATTTTCTCTGTTACCTTCTGAAACCCTCCCACCCCCCTTTTTTTGGTTCTTCCCTGTAACTGAGGTGAGCCAACTTGATCTCTCTCTGGGGAAGTGTTTTATAATCTTACTGGTTAAATTCATCTTTTTAATACTGCTGTTGTTTTTTTACTTTCAAAAGTGTTTCTTAGCTCCTCTGACCACATGGATGAACCAGTAGTCAGAGAAATGTCTTTGTCTTGATTAGACAGAGGCTATGGTGAACTCTTTTCCCCTGTAAAGTAACACTCTATTATGAGATGGTTCTGAATGTATTTGACAGTGATTATTCTTCCGCTGCCTTCATTCTTCACCATAAACAGCCCAGTGGGCTTTCTGGAGGTATGACCTGTGAGATGCGGGGTCCTCCTGAGAATGTGACTTCTAGTGGTTTCTTTTATACTAGTCCACAGTCAGTATCCAGCAGCTTCTTAAAGCCCCCACCTAAGTGATCCTACTTGTTTAGGGCTCCAGTAGCTTGTGCTTCAGGTAAGTAGGTCTTGTTTGTGACTCTGGATTCTCCATTCTCCAGATGTCAGGGTTTGTCCCCTGATCTCAGTTTTATGATAGAGCCAAGACAAGTGGTTGGTTTTTTTGTTCAGCATTTTTTTTTTTTTCCTGATTGTAAAGATGAGAATAAGAACTAAGTTTTTTACATGTGGTAGTTGAAATTGGAAGTCCTATTTGTTATTAATCTTTAAGCAGACATATTGCTACATAGGATGTACTTCAAATTGGGACATCAACTTAATCAAGTCATTCTAACTACCTTTTTTTAAAAAAAAATTATTTATTTGAAAGTCAGAGTTAGAGAAGGAAAGGGAAAGAGAGAGGTCTTCCATCCACTGGAGTGAACTCCAAATGGAGTGAACTTCCATTCACTCCCCAATTGGCCCCAATGGCTGGAGCTGGGCCAGTCCGAAGCCAGGAGCCAGGAGCTTCCCCAGGGTTTCCAGCATGGTTGCTGGAGTCCAAGCACCCGGGCTTTCTTCTACTGCTTTCCCAGGCCACAGCAGAGAGGTGGATTGGAAGTGGAGCAGCTGGGTTTCGAACTAGAGTCCATATGGGATGTGGGCACTGCAGATGGTGGCCTTAGCTGCTAAGCCGGCCCCACCGATTTAGTTTTAAGGTTTCTCTAAATATACCTAAAATCTATTCTTGTTCATACATTCTTCCATTTAAAATGGACTTTTATGTTTAACTTGCTAACGAAATAAAGCAGACCAACATCCTGCAATCATCTGACCTTCTCTAGTCCCTGGACCACGTAGAAGAGTAAGATCCGTGTGGCTCATACATTGTATTTCCCGAATTCAGCAATAGCTGCGTTGGGGGCTGAGGTGAAGGCTCCCGTACCGGCACCGTACCCACAGTGCCTCAGGGTAACCCCGCGAGGCGGACAGTGACACAGAACTCGCGCTGCTGAGCTGACACCAGTCCGCAGCCGCGGGAGATTAGGCATTGGAGGAGCAAGACGCTCTGTGCGTGCAAGTTGCCGTCGGCCCCACGCACCAGACGTCGTTTGCGTGTTTCTCGGGACACAGTTTGAAGAGGCCTTGCCTCGGCTCTCAATCCACAGAGTTTAACCACCTGTGGGACATCGTGGGCTCCCCAACAGCCATAAACGTCCTACGTCAAAGATGCAGGATCTGAACTTCCCGCCCGAGTCGTCTGGGCCTACGGAAGGAGCCCCCTCCTACGAGGCGCCTAAGAAGCTCAATGCCGATTGGGTCCTTCGGCGTCCAATGGGAGGCCGCGCCCTGCGCGGGCCGGCCTCGGGCAGGCCGGGTGGCGAGCGAACGCGGCGGTTGCCGGGAAACCGCGTAAACAGTGGACCTGGTGCAGCCCGGGTCGGCCTCTGAGCGCAGCAGGCGACTCTGTTTGCGGTGGGTGGTGGCGGTCGCCCGAGCCCGTGGGCGATTTTCGGCAACCAAGATGGTGAGCTTGTCCGGGGATTGGCAGCCTTTTATGTACTCGTTGGTTTACTTGTAGTTTGGAGAAGTGCCTGAGAATGAGAGCGGGGCGTGTTTGTGGTCAGAGGCTTCAAGTGCTCATATTTAAGGCAACGTCTGCAGTGGGGTTCAGCCTCCCCGACCCGTTCCCCAGCGTGTTAGCTTCGTCTTTAAATCTGCAAGACTTCTGAGCGAGAGCCGACGGCTCAGGAAGCGCTGGACCTGCTACATTCGCGTCGGGAAAGCCTGAGCCGCACCTGCAGCCTTGGGGGGTTGGGAGGGAGCAAAGAGGGAGTCCCGGGCCTGGAGAGCCAGGCTTCCTGGCTTTGGAGCCTGGTACTGCTGCTCATTAGCGCAGCACCCCCGGTAAAGCTACTTTAGACTTTTCATTCTTCCACTAAAAACAGGGAGTGGTGTTAGTACGTGTTCGGTGTATGTACTGGTATACTCCTCTATCGTTACTCTTACTAGGATGCTTCTCTAAATTTAGGAAGGAACCACAGATTCTGCGTTTGTTACTGTTGCCTATTTTCGTATCATTTATAGTAATAAATGGGGTTTGGGAATATCGAAGTATAACTGCCACGACCCCCTCTCCTTTTTTTTTTTTTTTTTTTTAAACTACAGGCTTCCAAAAGGAGAACCTTGAGCTTTAGCGAAAGGCATCAGAAATTAGTAGATGAAAACTACCGTAAAAAATTGCATGTCCAAGCACTCCAAGAAATAGAGGCTCAGATCAGGAACCAAATGGTCAGGAACGAGAATGACAACCGGGCAGAGCACAAGAGATTCCTCAGATTATTACAGGATGAACAATTTGAGTTGGATATGGAAGAGGCCATCCAAAAGGTAAGTTTTTCTGTTTATTGTTACATTTATTTTCCTTCATTGGTGCCTTGGAAATGAATCAAACCAATTATTAATACTGGAATTGAGTAGACAACCACCATGTGCATCAGCCCAGTGTCCTGACAAGGAGCTGATATTTTGGAGCTAGATTGTTTGTGAATTTTAGTACTGCTGTGTTTTAGCTGTAGGACTTTAAGTAACTCTTTATAAAAAGCTACTTAATCTAGTAAATGGGATAATAGTGCCTCCTACTTAAGATTGCTGTAAATACGTGCAAAGCCCTTGGAGTTGTGCCTGGCACGGAGTATGCACTCAGATTTCCTTCCACAGAAGCATGAAATCCATAGTTAGTAATGTCCATGGTTTTGCTAATGTAAGTGCAGTTGTGCCCTTGGCATTGTGTGATGTCAGGAGTCATATGAGATGTGGATGTTTCACTCTCTGTAGTGCCAGTGTTGTTTGGTAGGTTTAGGGAGACAGATTGTTTCCTGCATTCTGCAGTTACCATCAAACTTTTTTCTGTTATTTTATTTTTTTATTTTTTGACAGGCAGAGTGGACAGTGAGAGAGACAGAGAGAAAGGTCTTCCTTTTGCCGTTGGTTCACCCTCCAGTGACCGCCGTGACCGGCATGCCGCGACCGGCATGCTGCGGCTGGCGCACCGCGCTGATCCGAAGGCAGGAGCCAGGTGCTTTTCCTGGTCTCCCATGGGGTGCAGGGCCCAAGCACCTGGGCCATCCTCTACTGCACTCCCTGGCCACAGCAGAGCTGGCCTGCAAGAGGGGCAACCGGGACAGAATCCGGCGCCCCAACCAGGACTAGAACCCGGTGTGCCGGCGCCACAAGGCGGAGGATTTGCCTAGGGAGCCACGCCGCCGGCCTTTTCTGTTATTTTAGAAAAGATTTTTTTCACTCATTAGAGGTTGCAAACATGGATTTTCTAATTTTTGTTCCTTTCACATTTAATAGCTAAAACTCCTTTGTAGAGAACCTTTCCTCAACTAGAGTTATTTATTCAGAGTAGAAAGGGAAATATTTCTTTTCAGAGTGAAAAGGTGGTACCTTGGCTACTTCCATTTGTGTCCATCATCTTTTTGTTATTTAAAATTTATTTAATTTTACTTTTTCTCTTTAAAAATATCTTTAAATATTCAGAGATCATTATATGCTAACATTAAGGCTTCCTCCGGGTCTCCCATGTGGGTACAGGGGCCCAAGGACTTGGGCCATCTTCTGCTTTCCCAGGCCACAGCACAGAGTTGGATAGGAAGTAGAGCAGCTGGGTCTCAAACAGGTGCCCACATGGGATGCCACCGCTTCAGGCCAGGGCGTTAACCTGTGCCTCAGCACTGGCCCCAAGCCTTCTTTAACCTTTGATACTTCCCTTGTCTTCTGTCAGAACAAAGTGTTCTACATTCATGATTTTTTCCTTTTTTTTTTTTTTAAATGTTAGAGGTCTTCTTGTCACCACTGCAGTTCGTTTACTGTGATAGAAGCATGACCTGTGTCTCAGTTTAGCCATAATGATAATTTTGGATACCACAGTCACCAGTGCCCATTCTCATCTAGAATGAGGCCCATGATAGTTAATTTCTGTGAATTTGACTGGACCATGGGGCACCCAGGTGTTGGATCTAACATTATTCTAGGTGTTCCGGTGCAGGTGTTTGAGGTTAGTCTGCTGCATAGAGCGGATTGCCCACTTGGGTGATGTGGGTGATGTGGGTGGGTGTCATCCAGTCAGTTGAAGGCCTGAAAAGAACAAAAAGGCTGGCCTGCATCCTGGATAAGAGAATCCTTCCTGCCTGCTGCTGTGGCACTATCAATTCTACTGCCTTTCAGGTCTTCAGACTCAGACTGGAACTAAAACATTGGCTTGTCAGCTCGCTAATGCATCCTGTAGGTCTTGGGACCCCCCCAGCCTCCTAATCGCTTTCTCTGGAGAGTTCCAAGTTCAGGTTCATTGCATGTATTTCTTGTCCCATACCTGGAATAGGTTATTGTGTAAATGAGTCCTATTTTTTAAGAAAATTTTATTTACTTTTATTTGAAAGGCAGAGTGACAGGGAGGAATGGATCGCTAGGGAAAGAGGAGTCGGGGCAGGAGAGCGGGGAGAGAGAGAGAGAGAGAGAGAGAGAGAGAGAGAGATGGACGGACTTCTGTCTGCTGATTCATTCCTTGAATGCCTGCAGTCACCCAGGTCTCCCATGTGAGTGGCAGGGGTTGAAGTACTAGAGTCATCATCTGCTGCCTCCCAAGGCGCACGTTAGCAGGAAGCTGGAGGGGAAGGAGAGGCAGGACTGGCAGTTGGATACAGGAAGCGAGTGGCCGTTAAGTCTGCTTATTCTTAAAGGGATGTAATGGCTTTTTCAGGTCTTTTTCAATGAATAAAACTTAGGACAATGCATATTTCTAGCTTTTTATTTTGAGATAAGTTTAGATTTATGAGTTGCAAAATTGGATGCAGAGTTTCTGCATGCCCATGACCTGATGGCTTGTTATGTTCCTATCTTTCATAGATTAAAGTCATAGGAAGATGTCGAAAACATAGAAATTAACCTTGATACAATATTGTTAACCATGGGATTTGTTCAGATTTCATATGCTTTTCCATTAATGCTTTTTTTTCTGTTCTAGGATCACACCTCCTTAGTCTCCTTCAGTGTCTGTCTCCTCCAGTCTCTGAGAATTTCTTCCTTTTTCCTGGCTTTTGTGGCCTTCCCAATTTTGGAGACTGTGGTTCAGTTGTTGTAGTTCTTTTTTTTTTTATTTCACAGGTAGAGTTATAGACAGTGAGACAGAGACAGAGAAAGGTCTTCCTTTTGTTGGTTCACTCCCCAAATGGCTGCTACAGCCGGCACTGCGCTGATCCGAAGCCAGGAGCCAGGTGCTTCCTCCTGGTCTCCCATGCGGGTGCAGGAGCCCAAACACTTGGGCCATCCTCCACTGCCTTCCCTGGCCACAGCAGAGAGCTAGACTGGAAGAGGAGCAGCTGGGACTAGAATCCGGTGCCCACATGGGATGCTGGCACCACAGGTAGAGGATTAACTAAGTGAGCCACAGTGCTGGCCCCATAGTTTTTTCTTTTTTTTTTTTTTAAAACAATTTATTTATTTATTTGAAAGGCAGAGTTACACACACACACACACGGAGAGGGAGAGGGAGGGAGAGACAGAGATATCCATCTATGGTTCCCCAAATGACCACAATGACCATGGCTGGGCCAGGCTGAAGCCAGGAGCCAAGAACTTCCTCTTAGTCTCCCACGTGGGTGGAGGGGCCGAAGCATTTGGGCCATCGTCCAAGGCTTTCGCAGCTCCATTAACAGGGAGCTAGATCGGAAGTGGAGCAGCTGAGACTTGAACCAGCGCCCATTTGGGATGCTGCTGTTGTAGGCAGCGACTTAATCTGTTAGGCCACAATGCCACTCCCAGTAGTAGTTTTTTTGTTGTTGTTTGTTTTAATTATTTGAGAGGCAAAGAGACATAGTGAGCGAGCTACCATCTGCTGGTAGTTCACTCCCCAAATACCCAGGAATTAGGAGCTCAATTCAGTTCTCCCACAAGGTGGCAGGAACGTAACTACTTGCCACCCAGGGTGTGTATTAGCAGGAAGCTGGAATTGGGAGTGGGGTCTAGACTGAAGGCCAGGCACTGTGATGGTGTACGCGTGCATCCCACATGGTGTCTTTTTTTTTTTTTTGGACAGGCAGAGTGGACAGTGAGAGAGAGAGACAGAGAGAAAGGTCTTCCTTTGCCATTGGTTCACCCTCCAATGGCCGCCACGGCCGGCGCGCTGCGGCCGGCGCACTGCGCTGATCTGAAGCCAGGAGCCAGGTGCTTCTCCTGGTCTCCAATGTGGGTGCAGGGCCCAAGCACTTGGGCCATCCTCCACTGCACTCCCTGGCCACAGCAGAGAGCTGGCCTGGAAGAGGGGCAATCGGGAAAGAATCTGGAGCCCCGACTGGGACTAGAACCCGGTGTGCCGGCGCCACAAGGCAGAGGATTAGCCTAGTGAGCCGTGGTGCCAGCCCCACATGGCGTCTTAACCACTGCACCACATGCCCTCTCCTTTTATAGTAGTTTTGTATTGGTATATGCTAAATTCCCCCAGCTCTAGCAGTTTAAAACAATACAAATTTATTATCTCACAGTTTCTGAAAATCAAAACTCTAGAGATGGTATTGCTGGGTCCTCTGCTTTCTCAGTAGGAAGAAATCAAGGCCATAGCTTGGGGTTCATTGTTACCAAGAGTTCAGGGTCTTTTTCCAAGCTCATTGAAGTTAACTGAAAAATTCATGTTTTTTCAGTTGTAGCACTGAGGCCTTTATCTCCTACTGGTCACTACCATTGCCTGCTACGTGGCAATGGGCTTCCCCGAGGCTCAGTGGGGACTAGCCTCAGCTAAGCCAAGTCATTTTTACAACCCAACCGATTAGGTTAGGCTGCCCAGGATACTCTCCCTTCAATTAAGTGAATGTCAACTGACTGGGGATCCTAATGCCCTTTTCATGAGTCACAATGGAGAGTAGATGGTATTAATATGTATTATTCTTGATAATAACCTTGAACATTTGGTTGAAGTGATACCTACCGGGATTCTTCTCTGTAAAGTTACCAATTTTTACTTGTAATTACAAAAAATTTGCTGGCATCCCATATGGGCACAGGTTCAAGTACCAGCTACTCCACTTTTGATCCAGCTCCCTGCTAATGGGAAAGCAGTGGAAAATGGCCCACATGCTTGGGCCCATGTACCCATGTGGGAGACCCATAAGAAGCTCCTGGCTTCTGGCTTCAGTCTAGCCCAGCCCTGGCCATTGGGGCCATTTGGGGAAATGAACCAGCAGATGGAAGATCTCTCTCCTTTTCTGTCTCTCCCTCTCTCTCTCTCTAATTTTGCCTTTCAAAAATAAATAAATAAATCTTAAAATAAAAAGATAGCTTTGCTGGGTGAAGTATTTTTGGCTGGCAGTTTTTCCCCCCCAGAAGTTGGAATA